GGGTGGGCCTATTACCAAAATACTTATCTCCTACATACCTGAATTTTCTCATCGCCACCCACTAGCCATAGGGCTATTGAGGGCAAGGAAACAGCATTTCAGGGTGCCAGGGTCAAGCCCACGGCCAAAGCTCTCAGCTCACGCAGCACCCTTCAGCCAGCTCCTGCCCCCCCACCCCAACTCCATTGCCAGAGGGCTCTCAGCAATGGAGAGTGGCCCTTTCCCCATCAGGACTGTCACAGCTTAGCCGGAGCCTTTGGGGAATACCCAGCAGGTTTCAGTATCACAAGACTCCAGGGTGTTTTGCAAGTGTTCATCCGGGAAGAGGCCTGCTGCAGCTGCCTGTGCGGGGGAAACACCTCCTCTAGGAGAGGGTCAGGGCTTTTAAGGTTACCAGCAAATGTAGGAGAAAAGCCCTAGCAGCAGAAAAGCCCATTCAGGGTTGAAATGTGCAGAGAAGAGATTTCTCAGAGCAGGGGCTGCGCTAGTGAGAAGCAAAGCAATATCTCCAATATCCCTCTCTCTTCCCCCAGCAGCATGTTTTTGGTGTATGTGCCTGCAAAACTGGCCTCCAAAGCACCTTCTGAAGCAAGGTCAGGGCTCCCCACACCTTCAGATACTGCAGACCCCAACCCACCCAAACCGGCATTTCACAGCATGTCAAACACCTCCCCTTGCCTTCAAGGTGATGCTCAGCAATGGACAGGGGAGACAGAAAGAGAGATGCTGCAGGGACTCAGCATCCTCCCTGCCACCTCCCTCTGGGCTCAGCCTGTCTCCTGCACTTGCCCAGCAGAGCCCTGGGTGAGAGCCAGCACCTGAGGCTCACCACACTCCTCCCAAAGCCATGGGTTGTCAAAAACGCCCCTCTTACAGCCCACCTCATCTCACTCCTCCCAGCTCAGCTCCACCTGCTTCCCCCCTCAGGCCTCCCTGCCAGCCTGTGAGTGCAAAGCCGGTTAACCCTTTCCCCGCTGAGCAGTGCAAGGGCCAGACAAGTTGCTTGAGCAACTCATATCTGAGGGAGTGGGGTCCCGCAGCACGTGGGAGGAGCTGGGCTGGCTTCACGAAGGCCTCAGTTTTTATAGATCTATAGCTTCAGTCTCTAAATGCCGCAGCTTGGAAGCACTTGCTGCTCCCAGGAAAGGTGTCTTGGAGGCACAGGCAGGCACGCCAGGTGCCCCGCAATCCCCTCCCCCCGCCACAGCTGCTGCAAGGTGCCCTGATCCGTTCCCGAACACGATCCCTGATTCAGTGAAACAAGACACTTTTGCAGGAGGGCGGCTGGTTAATAAGCAGCCCAGCAGGAACAGCTTACGCTGGCAGCTGGCTGCCCAGGAGCCTTCAGCACTGCCTGGAGCAGAGCCAGCGCCACTTCCTAGCAACATCAGGGAAGCAGTTGCTTTTTGCGTGGCCTCCAGCCCTGGAAACGGTGCCCAGTTTCCTCTGGATCTGTGCTCTGTGGCTCACGGGATTCAGGGACCGTTGCCAGCAGAGCAGCCTTAGGGAAGCACTGGATTAGCATCGTGCCTCAGTTTCCCCAGATGGCAAATGAAAGGAGCTGAGGATCACCCCCACCCCAAAGCTCGTCCAGGCTCATAGCTGGGGCAGGCTGCTAGCGGGGTCAGGCACTGCCTGTCCCTCGCTGCCTCCAGCCTCCCCGGCACCGCCCGGTCCAGTTGAACCACTGGCTCCCAGCAGCCAGGCGTGACGTGCAGCGAGCTTTGCCCCCCTCAGGCAGGGCCAGAGCCTACGGGCTGGGAGACAGCCCGGGTACTGTCCCTCGGAGCACTTCCCGGTCGTCTCCCTTGCAAGTGACCAAAAGAACATTGGACGATCCCTGTTTTCTCTTTCTCCTGCTGTTAAAACTATGGAAAATGGGCTAGAGGAGGCATTTGGTTTCTGCGTCCATCCCCAGGGCAGGAGAAGCTGGTCTCTTACCATCACAAAGAGACAAGGTCTGGAGCAAAAAAAAAATATCTTTCTCCTTTTCCTCTGCCCTGCCAGCACACAGAGATGTGTGAAAGCACTCTGGGCTGCAGTTCGGGCTAGGAAATAAGAGACGGATCCCACGGGGACAGGAGAGGAGGGGTGCTCAGACCTATGGACCTCAGGGCTGGGCCGTTCCTGGCCTCTTTGTGCCTTTCCCATCCCAGAGCCGGCCTCTTCCAGGAACAGCCCCGTTGGCCCACCCTGCCCAGAGGCACCTGCCAGCTGGGAGTGCTACTGCATGCCACAAAGTCCTTTGGAATTACCCTCTTTGCAGTCACACTGCTGTCGTATAGAAGGACAATTCTTTTTATTGCTCAGAGAGACAATATATACAGAATAGATTTGCTCTGTAATTAAAATGGTTGGTTCTGGGCCTTTGGTTGTCCAAAAGAGGGTGAAATGCTGAGAAGAGAGCAGGTTTCAGTCAGCAGCTCCCAGCAGGGTGGCTGGGGCAGGCAGGGGTGGAGGGAACACCCTGCCCCATTTGGTCCCCTGTCCAGAGCAGCCGGGCCCATGGTAGAGCTAGTAATGAGAGATGACAGCAGCGATGCATCAGTGAAGGGACAACCAGCCCTGGGGCTGCTGGCAATGCAGTTGAGTAGGGGCAGCTGTGACTCAGGACCAGGCTCTCCTGGGCCTGGAGGGGTGGAGAGGAGGGTGGGTTTCTCCTGCACTCTCTCTGCCTCCATCCCAAGGCTTTGGCTGTTGTCTTGCATAGTTGTTTCCGCTCCCCTTTCCTCCCCTCCATGGGTTAGGCAGGGTGGGAACCCTGAAATGCCTCCAGGGCCGGCACAGTCCCACACAACCAACGCGAGACTCCCGTGATCGGTTCCAGGCCTGTGCCCATGTCTGGAGCAGGTCAGCATCCCTGTGGCTCGACAGGGATTGGGAAAGATCATCCCTAGCTATAGGGCCAGTGATCCCACAGCAGGAGAGATCTCACTCTCCTGGAGGCAGATCCTACATGGACACCAGCCTCTGAGCAGCCTTGCCAAGAGGCAGAAGAGCACGAGCCATCCTGCACACGGGACATGGAAAGGGAGAAGGCCGGAAAATGATGGCGACATGGAGAGGTCAGAGCAGCAGTCATGTACGGGGGAAGTCGGTGCAGAGAACCCCTGTGAAAACGCCCATCCTGATAGAGAGAAGCAAAGTGAGGAGCAGAGACGAAGAATGAGGGTCAATCGTCAGGGCATATGCTACATCGCGGTGGTGATCACCTTCTCCTCGGGCTCCAAAGTGTTCTCATAGGCATGCTGGCACTCTTTGGACCTGAATCAGGAGAGAAAAGTGCAGACAGTTAGTTCACTCAAGGATTAGGCTGGACCCTGGCAATGAAAACAGCTTCCTCAAAGCCATTGCTGGGGCCCTGACCCTATGCTTTGGCCACGTACTGGTTGACTTTGTGCTTGCAGCAGTCCCAGCGTAAGAAGTTGGGCAAGCATGGAGATCATCATAGGATCTTAAAGACTTCACTTTCCCAAGCTATTAAACCTTCATCTTGCAAAGGGAGAAGGCTGCAATGGAGGTAGGGATCCCTCTCTGAGGGGGACAACTAAGTTCAGAAGCAGGTGGTGTAGATAAATCTACGGAGAGGACTATTTTGACACTCAGCATCTGGATGGTGACCGAGGGCCATGATTTGGTCACTCTGATCTCCCCTGTTCAAAGGTGTGATGCAGCATAAAAACATGGTGCAGCAGGTTACAAGGTGGTGCGTGGACCATGGGGCTTGGCTGCAGGGAAGGGAGAGACAAGGGAGGACTGGATGCTTCCTCACTACCTTTTCCTTTGCCCCTGTGGAGGATATGGGCTACAACATGGGGTACATGGGGTCTATGAGACCCAGAGCGGGAGGGAAGCCGTGGCTCTACAAGCCCAGAGAGCCAAAGCAGAGCCAGGAGCCTCAGGGAGAAAGTCTTGAGCGATGCCTCCACCTGAAGTCAGCTGCTGCTGTTAGGTATCTCCCTTCACGGCCGTTGGATAGGACAGCTTCCGGCTTGTCTCCGATGCTCACCACTGCCTCCACGTTTTCCCTGGAGAAGAAAAGAGGCCGTAGGTAGGAACTGAGATAGAGCAATGGAAGAGCCGCTGCTTGCCCAGGCAGGAAGTTCTGGGATGCTTTTACCATAAGATGAAAGAAGGACTCCACAGGGACCCCAGCTGTGCGCACCAGCTCTGTCTTAACCCAGTCATGTGGCTGCAGCTGGCACTCCCAGCACCAGCCTGGATTGGTGACAGTATCGCAGCACTCATTTGTCAATACATGGGATTGTTTTCTCCTGCTAACTGGTTTTTCCAGCTTTCTTCTATGTGGTTTGTTGCAAAACAGTCACCTACAGTCCAAACTGACACCTACAACAATGTAGAGACTCTACCTTGGCAGGTACAGAAGGTGCGTGTGTGTGTGTGTACATCCATGCGTGCAAAACTGAGCAGTTTCCCTTTGGATCCAACTCTGAATCCCTTTTAGAAGGAACTGTGAGGCAAGAACTGGATGTCCAACCTCAAGCGGAGCCGAGAAGCTCAGATCTGGGAGTCCACGGACCGAACAGTCCCAGAGGCACAGAAGAGTTTAGCTGTGGTGGGTGGATGCACGTCCATTGTGTGTGCACAGCACTACCTCCTTTAGAGCTTGCTAAAGGGCAATTTCTGAGACTTTTTCAAGGAGCAGAATGGCGTAAATAGGCGGTGACTTAAGCTGATAACTGCTGTCAAAGTGAGAGTGCAGAGCTGGCAGCATGCCAGGCTGCTGAGCTTTGCAAGCATCTCTTCTGAAGAGAGGCCAGATTAATTAAAACAAGCTGCCATCCCCCCCCAGGTCTCCTCACTGGCCTCGCGGGCAAAGCCTAGCCCTGATGCTGGAGCCACGGACACCTCTGTGCTCCTGGGAAGAGGCAGCCCAGTGCGGGCAGGCAAGAGCAGAGGGGAAAAAGACACTGTCTCCAACTCTTGCTCTGTGGGTCAATGTCTCCTTCGACTCGATTTAAGGACAATAATTTCTTTTGGGGAAAACAAAGACTGCATTTTAGCTCAGCCCAGACTTTGGTGAATGTCCTCATAGATGCTAAACACAGTTGCAAATATACATATATATATACACATACATATATGTATTTGAATGCATTGGAGCTGAATGCCTCCCTTTAAATGTGTCTGGGTCGGAGGCTGAGCTGGTCAGCACAGAAATACATCCAGATCTCACTAGTCCAATCTCCACAGCTCTACAGCCTCCTCAGATCTGAGCAGACGCAAGAAACCTTTAGCTCGTACAAGGCCTAAAGTGCCAGTGCTGGAACAGAGTGACTGGGAACCAGGCTATCGTCCATCTTCTGTCTCTCCCTTGACTTTAGGCTCAGATTCAAGATTAAGTTACTGCAACTTAGCAAATTGCCATGGGTCATCTGAGAGGAGCAGTAGCCTGTGGGCTCATTTAGCCTGCAGTGAGCGAGGGGTAACTGGTCTTGCCCAGCCTTCTCCTGCGGGCTCAGCTAAGTCAGCTCCACACAGAGAGCTACCCTGGCTCTGCTGTCATGCTTTTCTCTCAGCTCCTCTTATGTATCTCTCCAGTGGCTTTACAACTCTTGCTATTTTTGGCTAGTTTTCCCATGGATACGAGGCACCTGGGAACCACACTCTGATAAATTCCCCCTTTAATTCGTTGCGTGAATTCAGCTTAGACACCAAGAAGCCCATGGCAGATGCACAGGGAACATGCCATCAATAAGCCATGAGAGCACCCATTTCTCAGGAAGGGTTTTACTCTCCTCTGATGTCTCATAGGGGATCAGCTCATGCTGTAGCCATAGTATAAATCAGTTCAAAACTCAGACCACCAGTCCCACATCTGCAGGAAATCAGACTCAGGCAAACACTTCTGTGAATCATCCCTTGGGTCCCTTTTCCCCACGTTAGAGCCCAGAAGAGCGTTGACTGCAAGACTTGCAACCTTTCACATTCAGGCTTGAAACTTGATCAAGAAAGCAACTGACCTCTTTTCAAGTGGGATTAATGGGACTGGTTTAAATGGCCTGCTTCTGGAGGGCCTACATATCCCCAGCAATGAAGTAAGCCCCGTCTCAGGGTGCCTCTGCTCTCCTCCGAGACCAGAGCGCCCCAGGGCTCCCCATTGTGTTCACCCTTGCAGCACAGGTCTGTTCAGTGGCACCTTCCGTGCTGAAGCCATGGCCTTGTGGGATGGAGGAGCTGTACCTAGGCTAACCCTGACCAGGACAACCTTGTCCTTCTGGTACAGCTCAGTGCTGCGCAGCCCCTTGTGCCCAGCGTGGGCAGAGCACAGGCAAAGCCAATGCGACCCCATCTGCACCTCTCTGAGCAGTCCAGCTCCTGTGTGTGCAATGTCCCTGTGAGTGGCCTCGTGGTGTTAGAGTGCTGCCAGGGCAAGAAGTAACTGTGACCAGAGAGCAGGACGGAGAGTCTTTTCTCTCCGTTTTTGGCTCACTTTGTGCAACAATCACTGTATTCCCAGCACTGGCGCAGATCTAAGGGGTGATTAGAAGTGACCTGTGCAGAGATATTGGGGCAGCAGGAGCTAAGCCAAACCCAAAGTAACCCCCGGGCACCTGGGACTCCTGGCACTTACTCTTTCTCCTTACACCAGAACTTATTGACCACGAAAGCGATGGCCACCAGGACTAGAAATACAACCACTGCGATGACACCTTGTGACCATGGCTGGAGGTTACCCCGAGCTGTAGAAGGAAAGGATAACATATATTAGAAATACATCCTTGCACTTCATCAGTTCAGCTTAGCTTCCTCATACCAGCTTTAGCGTCGTCCAGCCAAAAGTTCAGTCCTGCAAAGCCGAGCAGAGTGCTCTGCTGTTAAAGCAGTGCAGCCCTTGTGCGACAGGGCTGCACTGACAGCAGCTCTGGTGGGAGCAAACCAAGGGAAACCCCCAGGTAGGCAGGAGGAACAGAAGAAGTCAGAGGTGAGGGGGAAATTTTCCAAAGACCACAGACATTTTAGCATAGGCTCCTACGAACAGGATGGCAAACCTTTGATTGTCTTTAACACGAGCCTTAGTACAAATACTGCAATGTGCAGCCAGGAGAAAATCTAAAGGAAGGTTCTAAACACCCAGAAATAAATGAAAAGGAAGATAGAAAGCCTCTGTGTGTTAAATAGGAAAAATACCAGAATTACTAATAGAGGCAGCTACGGACCTGATGAAATATGACAGTATTTGTCTAAAGTGCTGAGGGGAAGAAGGAAGAGGGGTTTCAACCAATGGTTTACTTTGGATCCTCAGATCCCACAGATGATGTTCCTAGTTATTTTCCAGACACTACCCAGTCAAATAAGGACCCTGAGACCACCGCACAGTTTGGTAAGCACTCTCACAGCAAACCACTGCCAACGCTGATTTAGGTGAAATCCACTGTTCGCCAAGTTTCCAGAGCAGCAAACTGATCTATGAGGGGAAATGGAAGGATAAACTGTTCAGAGCAACAGCCTCCAGTGCAGAGGTCCAGCCGGAGTGGGCAGGGGTCCAGGCAGAGGAGCCGAGGTACAGGGCAGGTAGTAGGGAGCTGGTGCTGCCGCCTCCACCCAGCCTGGGGGGATGGACTCACCTGCAGGGAGATAACCTATCCTCACTGCCAATAAATCATCCTCATTGCCTTTAAACCCAGGGCCACTCTTCAGGTCCCAGGGGACAAGGAATAACTTATTCTCTTCTTCTCTGGCCATCATGATGTCCCCCCCGATGACTCCTCTTTGGATGAGCAAAAGAGAACGAAAAAGAAGAAGGTGAGCAGAGGTGCCAAAGCAGCACACGGGCTACCATCAGTGTGAGACAGGGGAAGGCAAGGCTGAGCAGAAGCACACCGCAGAGCTCGGTGCTCTGAGCATCCTCTAAGGCTCACCATCCCACAGGGCCATGCGGTGCTGCTGATCTGCCAGGGCAGCCCCTGGGGAGTTGACAAACCCACCAAACTCCACACACTGAGAAATGTCTCTCCCTGCCCTGTGAGCTCTCCTCCTGGTCTGTGGACAGCAGAGGTTTCTGCTCCATGCGATGTGGTGCCAACCTGCCAGGCTGCTTGGGTCTGCTTTTATTGCAGGACCTCTCTCCTTCACTGGTCTTTGCTCCTCTAACTGCCAGCCCCAAGTTGGCATGACCAGCATTCCCCCATTTATGCATGTGACAATGCTGGACTTTAGCAGCTCAAGGCTCCTTACTGTATTTATCCTACCCCTTGCAAGTCCATCTAGATGGTTGCCTTTGGGTCAAAATGAGTTTAAAAAGTTTCTGCACTCCCTCTTCTCTCGTTGTTCAATCACTGCCTCTCACTGCTGCTGAAGCAACTGTTTGTGGGAAAGTGGTGTAAAAGTGGTTGGGAAAGGATTTATGAACAAATAACCTCCCCTCCCTCTCCTGTCTTTCTCTGCCCCATCTCCAGAAGGCTGGTTTTAGCCAGGAGGTGGCCAGGGGTGAGGGGCAGGAAACTGCAAGACAGCCTTGCTAGTGAAAAAGGTGAGTTGTCATTTAGGTCCTCACTGACCTCAGTCCTTCACATGGGATAACACTGTCTTTACACGACTTGTCTGTAAGGACATGAAGCTTTCTACAAAAGGATTGGAAGGGAGCAAAACCCTGACCAGACAGGACCTTATCTCATGCTGGCGCTGCTAATACACAATCACATGCCTGGTTTTGTTCAATAAGTGTGTTCACAAAAACATCTGGAAGAGAGATCCATTTTTCTGTAACCATACCCAAGCAGTGATCTAGTCACACGAACACTTGCAGAGCTGCAGTAGGGTTGTGAGACGTACTCCAGGATGCAGAAGAAACTCAAGGCCAGCACCAAGAAAAGAGGAATATCTTGGTCCCTAGTGCTTTGCTCGAACTGCTGGTTTAACACTCCTCATGGGCCATCGTACTCAGACATGTTTACACCCATCCTTAAGCATTGAAAAGGCAACTTAAGAGTATGTAGACTCATCCCTTCAGGAATTAATTATCACCTTGTTCACGTAAGGTTTTTGTTTCTGTCGATCCAAAATATAACCCTTGCTCATAAATCAAATCTACCAGCTACAGCCCAGCACGAGTAGATGGGGCCGGGTAGAGAGGAAGGCGGAAAGCTCCCTGCCAGCTGATGTTGGTGAGAGCATCAGTCCTCAGCCCACACGACAGCCCATGCCATGCCATCCGCTAGCCCACGCGTCAGGGAGCCCTCGTGCGGAGCACGGGCTGACCACCAGGATGCCCACAGAAAACAGTGCTGGCCTGCATCAGGCGATGTCCTCGGCCAATACTGTTGCCCTGCAGCTTCCTTCTCACGCTGGAGGCTTGCACCAGCTGAACACTTTGTCCATCTTGCAGCAGACAAATCTCTGCCATAAACTGCAAATGATCTTTAGTAGAGGCAATAAGGGTGAACTGTGCAAACTATATTTACAAACTAAACATCCAAAGTCAGCCACCCGCTGGATCTGCTGCTGACAGCTCTTCAGTCTCTTTCGGGGAAGGAGAGGATTGTCTTTTTTAAGAGCCCCAGATCTTCAGATCATGTTATTGGAAAGGATCTTGGCTTTTATAAAAACAAAAAACAAAAAAACTCTGTTATCCTCATGGTGATGAGACCATGAAGTACAACCCGATTTAAAAAACTGAGAGCAAACATATGCAGTCCCAGAAGTACACAAGTCCTCATCCATCCTACGCAATCGGGACTGCTGCTTTTTGGACAAACCCTCGGGGCTGCTGAGGGTGGGTGGCTGACTCACCACTGCTCTGGACCTGGGAACACCCTGGGCTTACCAGACACCGGAGCAGCCCCAGCAGGGCCTGCAGAACAATAGCAACCAGCCCTCCCTTCGGATGGAGCCGGCAGAGGCACTTAGATGTGTTTACTGACAAGTCCTGGGGCCAAAACTCAACTCGGAGGAATTCAGGCGGAAATTCCCTCTTGTATCAGCATGCTTCAGATAAATCCCCTCACATCAGCAGGCTGCTGTTGCCAGTAATAAAGGGACAAGAGGTGTCACGGAGAGGAGCAGACCTTGGGCACTGCCCCAGGGCATCTGGCACAAAGGACAAGGTGCTGCCTTAGCTGCCCACCACCCCCTCCGCTCGCATGGGTGCGGCCCCAGGGACACCCACAAAATCCACCTTCAGGTTTGGCCTGCTCCATTTCCTTCTTTGCCCTGTCCTTGGCTGTCATTGCTGCTGGATTTATTTATTATTTGTGTTTTATTTTTCCTGCTGGGGCCAGGGTTTTCAATCTGAGCCTAGGAAGTGACACTTCGGTCCAGCCCTCAGTGAAGCTGCTGCTGGGGTTAAGGAAGTTCAAGGCTAACCTGGATATACCCATATTCAGTGGTGACCAAAATCCTAAAACTTGCATCTCTCATGCCAGTAAAGGAGGTAAAGAGATGAACGAGTAGGAAACCTCCTCCAATCAGCTATTCTTGGGAGGTGCTGTGTGCTCTCCCCCCCCCCAAGTGAAATCTCATTCAAGCAGCTCTTTTCATGAGACTTCAGAGCATCCAAAGCCAAAAGGGAAAATACCAAACCCAAATCAGGTGGAGCTGCTTTTGAGAGACCTCAAAAGCCGAGCTGCAGGGGGAAGTGAGGAGCCAAGGGTTTACATCCAAGCAGAGCAGTCACAGGCCCTGAGCGTGAGCACCTCAGCTGGGCCTTTCTCTGATTGTTTCACTGAAAGTAAATCAAGCCAAAGGCAGCAATGTCCACACAGGTGGCATGAGGACATGCCACATGTGCCCCAGGGACCCTGCCCCAGCCCAGGGAAAAGCCTTGGCTGAGCATTTGCCCTCTCCCCTGCCAAGAAGTCCTGCTTCAAAAGCCAGATTCACCTCCTTGCCTCTGAGACGTGCCCCAAGCCAAAGTTACTTCCTTCCCACCTCAAAGCCTGTGGTGGGGCTCACAGGGTAGGAAAATGACCTGCTCACTTGCCTCCCCCATCAGCCCGGCCCCATGGCCATGCCTTTGGACCAGGCTTTGTGGCCATGGCACCATTTCCCCCAAGTCTCACACGGCTCTCCTGCCCTGTGACCCCCACTTTGAGATTGACATTGAGGAGGAATATGGCAGTGGAAGTGTCAAATAGTCAGCACATCAGGCTGAAGTACCCCAGTGGGCACAAGGAGCTTGTGTAGGCATAAGAAAGAAGGAATGGCAACCGGGCAGAGACAGGAGCGAAAGTCAGGTTGCTGTGATCTTATCAGGGAGGAACTATGCAAACCTCAGCCTTGCCTGGCAGGCACTGAGGCACTGCTGTTCATACACATCTGCACAAATCACACTGCCGAGCCAGCAACAAGTGTTGCAAGACAGATACAAAAGGAAGTACACCCTGCTGTCTCAGTGAGAAGGAACAGCAGAAATAATTACTCTTGCCTGCAGAAGTGGGACTGTGTACCCCAAAAGATTCCCTACCAGGGATGACACTCCCAGGGCAGACTGGCTTTTGGGCCTTTCCACCTCCTCTGTTTTTAGCCCGGGGGGAATTGTGGCAGGTTCCCCCTCCCACACACAAGAACTTCAAAGCCAAACTAAGCAATGCAAGGTGCAACCCCTGTGCTAGCCAACATACCCATGCCCATGCATCCGCATGCACAAATGGGACCAGGGAAAATGCCAATATAAACTCTTGCCCATGCTGTGACACTATTTTATACTCCAGGCTTGTTTGAATGCATCACGTGTTTTGATGCATCTTCCTCTAGTGTCTGGAAAATATTGGCTGTTCTCTGTTTTGTCACCTCTGAGAAAGTTGTGCCAGTCTCTAAACCTCACTAGCTGCTTTTTTTCCCTTCAAGGCAACAGCAAAACTGTTAATCCCGCTGACGTTGGAGACCCCACACTGTTAAATCCTCAGCAAGTTAGTAAACAAATACAGGAAGAGCAGTCAAGGCTGGGGCATCAGAAGGAGAAAAGGGGAGGGAATTTTCCAGGACTTTGGCAGGATCAGATTAGTTTTAATTACTCCTGATTACATTAGACATATTCTTTCATGAATGGCATAAGACTACTGTCATAGTGATAGCAATTCTCTCTATCAAGTCTTCGGGAAGGGAAGGGAAGCACTGTTTGCAGAGGAAAATATTTCCTCCCGCCACCTCAACAGTGATCGACATTAAAGATTAACAAGAGAATATATGAGGTCTCAATGAACAGGGAAAGCAACCTAGTACAATGCTTTTCTGTGGAAGAGCGAGAAGACAGTGGGGGGGAGAAGCCTTAAGAAAACAAATTACTCATCACAGTGCACAATCCTGCTGGAAATAAATCAGAGTTGTTTTTACCTCTGTGTAACTAGGTGAGATGAATCTCTGCCAGGAATTTCAGCGCTGAACTAAACAGGGAAAAACAATCCGTGCTTCATTTCCAGCAAGATTTCACAGCCGGATGGGTACCAAACCTTTCCTCTGCCCCCACTAACATGAAGCCAAAGCTGAAAGCATGACATTTTCCCCCTTTCCCAGCGATCTCTCTCAGGGTCCCCCCTCGCCCCGAGAGGCAGGACACCGGGGGGGGGCGGCTCGGGGCAGCCCCGCTCCCCGTGCCTCAGT